GAATTCACATCTCCATTACGGACTCATCACCGTACTTTTTATATCTTGTCCTGAAACTCAAATCATTCAAATATATTTCAGGATAAAGCTAGGGTCCCGGCTCCAAGACAAAGCTCGTCGTCGAAGACATGAAGGAGCAATACTCCAGGGTTGACCCCTCCGACCAAACTTTCGCGGTAGTTTGCCATCTCGAGGTACAAGACTGCTGCGAATCTCGATGTGGATTTAACAGTGGCGGCGCGCTCCCTGAATCTGAACAAAACTGTTTAAATAATAAAATGAAATGATGCATTTAAATTAACTATTAACTAACTTAATCTAGAAAAGACAGTACCTAGATCCGATTGAAACTTCTTTTGAAAAGCAGCTATTATCTCCTTTTTTCGTTATGATTTAATCGTGATGGCTGCACGAGGTCAAGCAGTCAGTGAACAGACATTTAATTGGGAGTTTTAGTTAATATAATTGGCAGGCGCTCACCTCTGCCAATTGCCTGACTTAATCCCACATGTTATACACCTGTCGAACGGTAACCGGACGAAACTCCCCGGACAAAAACCCTCGTGGACAATAACTTCCCCGGACAAACTACAATCCTTTAAAGTTCGTCATTTCTTATTTACCCGAAACTATATAAAATTATTTATTTTAGATTAAAACGAAGAGTTGTATGCTATCGCACGTAATTAGTCCATAACATTGCATTGCTACCACGCCGCGAACGATGGTAAGAATCCAGGCATTTGAATCAGCATACTTTTTTCTTGGAGTTTGTGGTGGATGAGCGGCCAGAATTTGAGTGCAGTGTTGTTTGTTCCATTTGAAGAAATCCAATAAATTTTCAAATGGTTGGATGGTAACTGCCAACTTTTGACTGAAAACTTCTGTGCCAAATTTTTCTGCTTCATATAAACATGACCTTCGAAAACCGCCTTCTCTTTCCTTTATTTGATTTTACAAATTCCATCAAGTGTTGCAAGAGTTGTGAGATAGTAGACTCATCGGCTATATGTATCTAACAAGATCCTTTTTGATGATGAGTGAGAGACCTGTATTCTTCAAACGGATTTTGTCCACGGCGAGGGGCTATCAGAGGGGTCTTTTTTCCGGAGGGTTATTGTGCACGGGGGGTTTGAATATTTGAGCGCCAAACTTTCCTCACCGAACGAACAGCGATTGTCATGCGTAACGTTCCAGACATTGCAGGATGATTCCCGGAATTCCTGCTAGCGCAGAGAAATGACTTCCGGTTCATGGCGATTGGCCATTGGAAAACCGGAAGTTTTCCCTTATAGAAAGAACGACTAGCCTCAGGAAGTTATCTTTATGCCACATGCATGGTACGGCATACAAATTGTAAACTGTTAAATAAATAATAGTCATGTTTCGTCTCGTGAAGCATTGAGCACCATTACACCGGGGCCCGCAACCGTCGACGCTACGATTGGCAATGGGAGTGAAATCGGATACAAAATCCTAGTTGAATGAGCAACTCAGCTAGGGTTCCCACAGGGAAGATGGAACGATCGATTCTAATGCTTTGGGGTACGAATCGTTTGAGGAATGCATGACAAACTTCGACGAAATGGCCTACATCAGTAGGCTGCACCGAGACGTCTGAAGTGCAAAATGATGGATGTTTCGGACAGATCGCTGTCGATGGACAGTATGGCTGTGGATACGCAGTATGTTAACCGCAGAAGCGTTTGAAACTCCATCGCGAATGGACAGAAGTGAACAGCGACGTCAGCCTCCTATTGGACAAATCTTACCTGTCTTTCGGCAACCGTGCTCGAGCTAGACATATTGAACT